TTTCAAAAATCAAAAGAAGATGACCTAAATACAGAAAAAGTTTCAAAGTCATCCGTAATGGTTTACGAAATTTATATGTATATCCTAATTTTTCGATTTATTTTTATTTGGGCTTGATCTAGATATCAAATAACCTTTTTGAGGTATTGATATTTATCTATCCAAGCTATAAGAACATTTAATTTTAATATTGGTTTAATTTTTAAAATTAACTGTTTTCACATTTTATATGTTTAGTTTTTAAAAATGTTAATTTTGAAGGATTTCAATACTTTAAAAATTAAATCTTTATTAAGATTAAATAAATTTTATAACTTAGATATACCTCGAAACATGAAAATTGTTAACTTTGAAGTTCGAACCAGCTACTATAAAAATAAACCAAAAAGTTTAATTTTTTATTTTATTAATTAAAATTAGAGATATAATTTTTTTTATTAAATAAAGTTATACCTCAGCTGATTGAAGTTGATAAAAATATGAAAAATTACTTTGAAGGATTGAGTAGAAATAGAAAAAAAATATGGGGATGGAAGTGTAATTCTATTTGGCTTAATTGAACAATAAAAAATGTGGTAAAAAACATAATAACTTAAAGATGAAAAATTGAAGTTTTGGTCCTTGTGACTTGTTGGTGACCTGGAAACCGGTTTGGGGTATCTTTTTGTTACATAACTCCCAGTTGGAGTACTTTTTGTTACAAATTATAGTTGAGGTACCTTTTTGTCACAACGCTAAAAGTTAGGATATCCCTAATGAAAAATATCCTGACTTTAATAGATCAAAATTGAAAGATATATTTGAGTGAAGATAGTAATATTTTTAATAAATAAATAATTTTAAATATATTCTTAAAATTTGTGACATTTTAATTAAGGCCGCTAAGCTAAAAATAAGTACATTTTTAGAACATCATATGCATTTTCATTATTTCCCAACTTTTTAATTAAGGCCACTAAGCTAAAAATAAGTACAATTTTATGCTTTTTAAAGAGTAGGCTAAGCTCGTATTAATAAATTCTATGAACTATGTACTTTTTTTCTAAAATTAAAATACATTTGGCGTAAAAATAGAGAAAAACTTGGAATGTATGTGTGTATGTGTCTATATATGTGCATGTATATTTTTTTAGGGACGCTTTAAGTCGCACTCGCACTCATGATATTTTCATTTTTGACGCATTCACGCACCCGCACTCACTTTGCTCTCGCATCTGCTTTATGTGTGCCTAAGGATATTGATGCTCAAAGTGAATTACTCCTTGTTCCAAAAAGTGAAACTGCTCATCCCGGGTGCCCTCACCCCCTGCCCGGCGAGATTGTGAGAGGAAGTAAATTTTGATAATTTAATTGGCAACAGAGACTGGGACCAGTGCTAAAACTGAATTACTCCGAATAGATGCTCATAAGGCAAAAATATGATGGCACTAATAAGCTAAAGGCAAAAATAACACATGCCATGTACCAAAAAGTTAAAGGCAAAAATGACACACGCCATGTACCAAAAAATAATACAGTATACAAACTTATGACTGCAACATACAAACCATATTTGTGTGTAGCGCATGAGAATGAGTGGTCTCATCTTGTTACATGCATTGATAAATCAAGATAATGAGATCACATTAGCCCATGACATCAATTATTTGCACATACAAAGAATAAATCAAAAACAAAATGGGCAAAGAGAAAATTCAAGACAATGAGATTACGTGAGCCCATGAGATCAATTATTTGCACCAAGGAATCAATTTAACAAAAATCTCAACCTCGTTCTGATTCAGGAAAGATTATTTATATTCTAACACGCCCCTCACGTGCAGGCGTAATCTTTTTTCGAGCTTTACACGTGAAACCTTAAAAGTTTTAAAACTGGGTGGCGTTGAGTTTCAAACTTGTGACATATTAGTCAACAAGGCTCTGATACCATGTCAAAGAATCAATTCAACAAAATGCTTAAGCTTGTGGTTGTGACCCATGAAAGGTTATTTATATTCAAACACCTACAAAGAATAAATGAAAAACAAAATGCGCAAAGTTATCACATCCAAATAGCAATCATATACTCCCTCCGTCCCAGAAAACCTTTCTCCTTTCTTTTTTCATCCGTCCCAAAAACGCTTCTCATTTATATTAAAAAGTCACTTTTACCCCTTACTTTTTCATACCCTACCTATCACATCATACCTTTTTACTAATAATCTATCCATCAAATCATACTTTTACCCATCACACCAAAGGACATTTTTGGAAATTCAATACCAAAATACAATTCCCTTAAATCCCCATTCAAAATCAAAACTCTCATGTTTTCCGGGACGGAGGGAGTATATAGTAGTAACTATAAGAATGTTACGGGGTCGCAAAAATATCTTTCGCAAATCTCTAAATTAGGATGGGGACAAACTTTTTCTGTCGCAATTTTAATGTTGCAAGTTTTCAAATTGCGACGAATTTTAAAACCCATCGCTGTTTGCGATAGCTACTGCGACAGTTTTTTTGTTGATCAAGGGCCTGTTTGGGAATAGCGTTAGAGATTAGCGTTAGCGTTTTGGATAAAATTTTAACGGTGTAGATTACTTTGAAAACGCTAATGCTAAACGCTGGCCGTAGATAACGTTTTCAAAACGCTAACGCTAATCTCTAACGCTATTCCCAAACAGGCCCCAAATTTTCAAAACTTGCGACGAAAATTCTAACCGCGACAGATGGTTTTACATACCTATTGAGGTTATGTACGATGAAATTGAGATTTCGTCACAAACTGCACAACAGCAGCTGTAGTTTTTTGGAAAAACTACCAATTTTTTTCCTCTACCTATACCTGCTTTCATTTAGAGAAATAATAAAACTACACCAAGTAATTTAATGCAAATATATTAAGAAAAAGTATCATTTACCACTTCAACATTAATAATTTAAAACAATTCACAGTCAAACACAAATGAATTCGTCAAAAACACCCACCATGTTAGCTCCAACTAGCTAGGTTCTGTTGGTATGATTTTATGTTGGCATTATTTTTTAACAAAACCCTTTCTGTAGAATTGTTAGCATGTCTATGTTAAGTCAAGAGCTGTAGCATCCTGTCAGTCATAGTATAGAGGTTCTCTACGGTTTGGACTCTAAATACGAGGAGACTTATATGTCGAGAGGAGTTCATGAGGTGTCCAGCATCAAGAGGATCTACATCAATTGGTTATGTCCTGGCCACGTGCTTAATAACCGATGCAGACTACGAAAGGAGTCATGGCGCGCTAAGGATTGTCTGGTACTCAAGCCTATCATCGTAAGAGTTCCAGACTAACTCCACTAGGGTTATGGACATCATATAAATAGAGACGCCCTTGGATGAAAGGGGGCGCAGAATAATACTCATAATATCGTACGAGAGAGCGTGAGATCATAGCTGTCCAGATCAAAACAAAACTGTGAGAGATTTGCATGAGAAGGTCAGTCATGGATCTTCTCTAGATTTTGTTCAGCAGTTGCAACCTGGTTAGCTGAGCAAGGGTCAGTAACACATCCTCCATGCAGAGCGAGGAGAAGGTGTAATAGGCCTCGTTGTGACACAAACCGAGTTTGTTGTCAGACACGTAAGTAGACAAGTCAAATTCATTAGACGGTTCTGTTGAAGTTTGATAGTGTAATTCTTACGTTGATCTAGTGGAAAGGCTATTACACGGATGTGGGCCTCGCAGATGTAGGAGATACTGCTCCGAACTGCGTAAACAAATCTCTGTGTCTTTGTGTTTCTATTATTGTTGTGTGTGTGACTGTTGGAAAAAGTGTTGTAGCATCTCGTGTGTCCTAAAGCTACAACGCTCTTTTCAATAGTGTTTCTGTGGTTGCATCTGCTTGCTGGTTGTCACTGTTACTAGTCTATTCTTGGAAGTGTGGAAATTTCAATTGGTATCAGAGCCTGTTGAGCTTAAGTTATTAGCTTTCAATGATCTCAAATTATGGGAGACATGGAGGAAGGAGCCAGTGTTTCCAGACCACCCTTGCTGCGTGGTCACAACTACAATTTATGGAAAGGACGGATGAGGGCATTCCTGAAATCACAAGGAGGAGGAGTATGGAGAACTGTTGAAACAGGCTGGAGAGAACCAGTCAAATATTCAGATGACCTGACTACATCAACCATCAAGAAATTTGAAGACTATAGCAGAACTGAAGTCATTGCCGCTGAGCATAATGACAAAGCCCTAAATGCTAATTTGGGACGAAGAGAGTACTTCGTAAAAAGTATTAGGAATGATAGAATAATTAGAAATAAAATATTATTATTATTATTATTATTTTCCTTTTTTATTCCTTCTATAATTATTATTCTATTATGATTAGGTAACTATGTTGTAATCCCTGTATATAGGGATAAAACCTTCATTATTCAATAACACCAATTATTATCAAATTGTATAAGAAAGATACTGCGAGCTCAGAATTAGAGGAGAAATCCACTCTTTTGGTTAAGAGAGCATGAAATAGAGATATTACGTAACAGAGCTTTATATGGTGGTCTAATCTTTCTTATATTTATTTTGTTTTTTCTTCTTGCGTGTTTTTATTTTTTATCTCTCTTGGAGTTTGAGATGTGAGGGTTTAGTTGAAAATTCAGCTAAAGACAACATGAGTTCATACATACTACTTCCTTGTCCCACTATTTTTTCGACATAAGGGAGTGGTACAAAAATAAGGAAAATAATATTATATGGTTGATATTGATGTTAAAAAGAAAGATAAAGTAATTTTGGTTGTGAGCGACACAAATCTAATCTGATATTGTATTATACAAAAAGAATGATACAAGAAAAAAGAGGATGAAAATAACGAAGTATTTCATCTTATGGACCTATATTTTTCTTTTTTATACTCTTCCTCACATACTTTATTTATATCTTTATCTTCTTCTAAATACCTTTAACCAAACAATATTTAGAATGTGGTTAAACAGGTGGCCAAGTATAAACATAAAATTCGAGCGTGTTATCACAAGTTCTTGGACTGTAGCGACGAAACTCTATGGTGGATGATGGCTGTGGATGCATCATTCTTGCTCGAGTTCCTTCAAGAACTATTGTATGCAATCGAGGAACATAAAGATCTCACTAGAGGATGTTCCTCAAAAATGTCACATTTGGTAAACATGACAGGAATGAGAAGAAAATCAACCCACAATGCCATCCTGACGGACATGGTGATGCTCGAGAATCAGATCCCATTGTTTGTGTTGCGCAAAATGTTAGAATTTCAAACCTCTTGTTTTGAGTCCGGAGATGACATTTTGGTGGGCATGCTGGTTGGGTTTTGTAAAGAGGTTTCTCCTTTTAAGACGGTCAAAATAGTATTGGAAAAGGCAGCCTTGAGAGACTCTGCGCATTTGCTAGACGTTGTGTACCACATTATCACACCTAAAATGGAAAGAATTGACGAAGTGGCAGGTGACGAGATGACCAAAACTAATAACCAGCCAGCAACAACCACAACCAGTAAGAAACTTGTACAAGATGCTCAGAGAATCATTCAGAAAATAAATGATTCTGAGCTACTCAAGAGAATTGTACGCTCAATGCCATGGAAGGTGTTGTCAAATGTCCCTGGACTCAAAGTGGCGCTTCAGCCCATAGAATACATGTGTTTTCCTCTCGAGAAAGAACAATCACATGTCAAACGGGAAAACGGAGGCACTAGCAACCCACCTTTGGCAGAGGAAATCAAAATCCCTTCTGTGACTGAACTCTACCAAGCCGGAGTCAATTTTTTCCCTATAAATGAAGGGATTGAGAACATTTGTTTTGATGATACAAAGGCATTACTCTATCTCCCCTGCATTACTTTAGACTCGAACACTTTGGTATGCTTTAGAAATTCACCTTTGAATGAGAGCTTTACTTATATAAAAATTCTAAATATTTTCATACAAAGTTACTCTTTATGTCCCAAAATAATATATACAATTACAAGTATAAGGATTGATTGAGTTTATTTTCATCGAAATTTATTTTAAAATAAGAAATATACCTATAGTAAACTAAAATGTAGAAATTATACCAAAATAAGACATCATATGTTTTTCCCCAATATAGGAGTATTGGCACATTGAAATGCACGCTAAAATTTGGCGTTGTGTATTGGCATTTCAAAGTGTTGTTTGGCATTATGTGTTAATTTATTTGGCACTATATTCTAGTACAAAAATAGCAAAGGTATTATTTTTGTATATAAAGCTTGTTTTCAACTTATAGGTGAAACTTATGATGGAAGCTCATGAGAAAGCTTTAATTAGTTTAACTTGAAATTCTTATTAACAGGTATTATTGAGAAACATGGTAGCTTATGAGGCGGGGAACACAAGCATAGAATCAGTAGTGTTTACGCGTTACACAGAGTTGATGAACGGGATTGTTGACACAAAAGACGATGCTAGAATTCTCAGAGAGAAAGGAATTATTTCGAACCGATTGAAGAGTGACGAGGAGGTGGCTGAGTTGTGGAACGGAATGAGCAGGTCAATAAGGTTGACCAAAGTGCCCTTCTTGGACAAGGTAATTGAAGATATTAACAAGTACTACCATAGGAGTTGGAAGGTCATTATGGGAAATATAATGAAGCGATATGTGTTTGGGTCATGGCGATTTCTCACCCTTTTGGCTGTAATTATGCTTCTGCTTTTGATGAGTCTACAAGCATTTTGCTCTATTTTTAGTTGTTTTTCTCTTCAACATGTTGGGGCTAGTGGTACTACTACTAATCAATCATGGACCCGACCCACATCTGCATACCCAAATCTATATTAAAGATATGATTATAATGTTTTTGGATCTAACGAATATGGATTGTATATTGACCTAATCTCGCTTAAATGGATATATATATATATATATATATATATATATATATGGGCATAAAATGTAGATACGCAAATCCTAACAGTTTAAAAACATATTCCTACCCATTTGAAGAACCACACGACATCACACATTTTAAATAACTTTAATTCAAGTTGTTTTGTTTTTCCTAATTGATTTCCTTTTTTGTCTCTACTATCTTTGGCTTCGCGATATGTGTTTACAACTAGTGATATTTTCACTCCATACATTAATATCTGCACTCCACTTTTGTGCACTGCAAATATCACTTTCGTGGAGTGCAAATAGCACTTTTTGTATAATGTGTTTGTTCCATCCTTTTTTATCATTATTTTTTATTCATAACTCAATTTTATTCTAGCAATATATCAACGAATAGCTCTTTAAAACACTTTTAATATGAGCTAAATATTGATTACTCACTTAGTCCCTAAGAGAAATCCTTATTACGGGTTAACGAGATAAAACAAAGTTCTCTTTATCGTTTTCTTTCAAAACTGGTATTCTCTTTTTCCTAAATTAAGGGACATATACACTATTTGCAAGACCAAACTATATCCACTTTATTTATCTATTTTCGTTAGTTATTTGATAAAATAATATAGTCACGTCACCATATGTTTTCTAGATCTTTTGATATATGTAGTTTTTGAATATGTAATTTTTTAATTCAACCCCAATCGTTTTATAAATTGAATGTAAGATAACTTTACTGAAATATCGTAAGCCAAAACAAGCCATATAAAATGGGAGAAAGGGAGTATAAAATAACATAATAACATAATTACATAATTGATGATAATGTATGAGTAAAGAAATTTATCACGACCTTGGAATAGTGAAAATAAATTTGTTTTTAGGACGGGGAATCATAACATTTTAATACATGCACCTCAATTTTAGAATGAAGATTACACTTTCACCTCACAAATTTAAGAACTGAAAAGTGAAAGGTGTTAAGTAAAAAGTGAAAAAAAATATGATACTTCCTCCGTCCTGGAAAACATGAGAGTTTTGGTTTTGGAGAAGGATTTAAGGAGAGTGTATTTTGGTATTGAATTTTCAAAAATGTCCTTTGATGTGATGGATAAAAGTATGATTTGATGGATAGATTATTAATAAAAAGGTATGATGTGATAAGTAGGGTATGAAAAAGTAAGGGTAAAAGTGACTTTTTAATAGAAATGAGAAGTGTTTTTTGGGACGGATGAAAAAAGAAAGGAGAAAGGTTTTCTGGTAGGGAGGAAGTATTTGCTAGTACGAGTCACTTGGTGTGTGAAAAGTGATGTGTGATGCACTTGCCCTGCCTGATTGGATATTCGGTAGTAATGGTATGAGTCACTTAGTTCTGAATTGAGACTTTTACTAGATCAAACCTTATCAAAATGTAAGTTCACCTGCAAGTATCATTTAATGGATTATATTGAACAATAGAACGTCTAATTTTAGATTTCTAACACTGGCCCTTATCCGATCAGACATTTGGATAGTGAATTGTCAGTTTCGGTCACTTAATTCAAAATTAGATTAAATTCGAACTTGTTTGTAACAACTCAACCCCTTAAGCATACTCATGTCGACTAGCAAACCAGAGAGTTTAGCAATTTGGTATAATAACATCTCGTAATTTAAAAAAGGAAGAATAATAGTAATTTAAACACATAGTTTTATCAAAACACGATAAAAAGATTTTTTGGAGTAATTTAACTAAACCATTGTGAAAGCTAAATATGATTCAACAAAATTTTAAATGTGGGTTTGAGTCCCAAAGTATTTTTAAGTATTAATAATTATTGAAGAACAACCCTGCATGTTCTCGCAAAGTCTCCAATCTCAACATCCTCTACGAATGGCTCCATTGTTCTGATTACCTATGCTTAGTCACACTAAAAGCAAATTGCACGTTCTACAAAATTGCTGAGTTGTACCACTAAGTAGATTTCGAAGAATAATTTATGAACACATAATCATGTATATAACGGTAATTAACACCTCTAAGTATCTCCATTAAGAAAAGTCTTTATTGTCTTTTTCACAAATCTTTAATTTTATTTTCCAATATGATTTCACGATCATCACGAGGTGTGAAAATGTTTATTCAATTATTAACATATAATCATTCATATTTATGTGGTCTTAGTAAAGGTCGATCTTATTATTCAAAAAACATCATTTATTCTTAAGTTCACTAAGTCATTAGTTTTGCAATCATTTTTTAAATTAATTCATTACGTGAGAATCTCCAAAAGAAGCTCGTCCAAATCAACATCATGTGAGTTACTCTGAAGAGAACTCGTCCAAGTCATCAAGTAAACTGATATTCATACTTTTTAAAAATTATCATAAGATAATAGTGTTGAAATAATATGAATTAATGGATTTTACTTAAGCAATAGAGGTGAATACATGTAAGTATATATAGCTAGAGATCCTAACACAATTAGGATTAGGATTCTTCTAATATGGTAACTAACTATAATACAATTCTACTATAACTAGGAATATTACTATAGTGTCTAACATCCCCCATCAAGCTGAACGCCGTGAAACGAGTGGAAGCTTGGAAACCAAAAGAGTATAGCGTGGGGTCGGTAAGGCTTTTGTGAGGAGGTCGACCAGCTACTCTGCAGACGGAACATGCGACATAGTCATTTGTTCTGCAATGACCTGTTCCCGCACAAAATGGCAATCGGTACCCACATGCTTCATGCGTTTGTGAAAAACTGGATTCTTGGTTAAACAGATAGCAGACTGATTGTCACAATAGAGATGTGGTGGAGGGAGCTTGAGCTTCAGAATGTCAAAGAGATAGGAGAGCCACATCACCTCAGCAGCAGCAGCCGAGAGAGCCCGGTACTCGGCCTCGGTTGACGATCGGGATACACGACTTTGTTTCTCTGTGCTCCAGGAGATGAGATT